AAATATTTTTTCTTCAAGTAATGTTGGAAATGTTTGTCGAGCTTGAGGCTGGCAAAATCTGGATCACCACAGCTTTATGGGATTTTAGCCTGGACTTAAAGTCTCCAAAGTACCTCCCTTCCCTCTATGGTTTTTTATCCTTCTTTATCCACAGGCATAAGTGGGCAGTAGATGACAAATTTCCACTCCTTTACTCTTCCATTCTGAAATTTGTAGATGAAGGCTTTCATTGTTTATACTCCAAGCCAGCTGGAACTGTGAAAGGATGGACAAGGTGCCGTGAAAAAGAAGATTTGAGGATCCCTCCGCCAAGTGTTTATGAAAAAACCCTGTCTCTTGATGGTTATCACATTTACAGCACTCTCTGGGCTGTGGCAAATGCCATAAATGCGGCATATTCCTCCAGGTCTATCAGGAGAATGAGAAACAGGAAATACCAGTTGGAAGGTCAACTGCTTCAGCCTTGGCAGGTATTCATTATTCTATATTTCCTTTAAATGAGAATCAAATCTATAAATCCATATCATGAACAACTTTCTCCAATAATTAGTTTATTTTAAGCATGCTAGAAAAGCAACAGGGAGATGAAACAGGAAGACTTAGATGAGAGAAAAGAAGGGGAACTTATCAAATTTGCAGATGACACTAAACTAACAATAAAAGAGCAAAGTTTTTGATAAAATAGACCACAACTACTTCTTGGTAAACTAGAAAAATGTGGGATAGACAGCACCACCACAAGATGGATTTGTAACTGGCCGACAAACCATATTCAACAAGTAGTCCTTAATGGTACTAGATCTACATGGAAGAAAGGAAGCAGCAGGGTACCACAAGGTCTTAGGCCCAGTACTCTACAATATCATCATAAATGTCTTAGATGAAGGAATAGAAAAGGAACTCATCAAATTTGTAGATGATACTAAGTTGGCAGGAATAGCCAACACCCCCAGAAGACAAGCTCAGGATCCAAAAAGATCTTGACAGACTTGAACAATGAGCCCTATCCAACAAAATGAATTTAATGTGGAGAAAAGCAAGGATTTACACTTAGTCAGAAAAAACAAACAAAGGTACAAGTACAGATTAGGTGAAACCAAGCTCAAAAACAAGAACTGTGAGAGGGACCTTGGAATCCTAGGGGACAATCTTTTAATATGAGCCAGCAACATGCAGCAGCAGCCCAAAAAAGTTAATACAATTCTTGGTTGTAAAAACAGAGGCATTGAATCAAAATCAGGTGAAGAATCGGTACTGCTTTATAAATCCTTAGAAAGGCCACACCTGGAATACTCCATTCAGTTTTGGTCACCACATTACAAAAAAAGATGTTGAAATGTTGAAAAAGGTGTAGAGAAGAGCAACTAAGATGATTCACGTTCTGTAGACTGAAATATATGAAGACCATTTGTGGGAACTGTGTATGGCCTGTCTAGAGAAAAGAAGGACTAGGGGTGACATGAGAACTGTATTCCAGTATTTATGGGTTTGATACAAAGAAGAGGAGTGTCAACTTATTTTCCAAAGCACCAAAATATAGGAATGGATGGAGACTTATTAAGGAGAGAAGCAACCTGGATTTAAGGAGAAACTTCCTGAGAACAATTAGCCAGCGGGACAGCTTGCCTTCAGAAGTTGCGGGTGCTTCATCACTGGAGGTTTTAAGAAGAGACTGGACAGCCACCTGTCTGAAATGGTATAGGGTCTGCTATTTGAGCAGGGGGTTGGACTAAAAGACTTCCAATGTCCAGCTCTTTTATGATTTTAATGAGGCAATCAATATGTACTTGGTTCTTTTAAAGATGTTCTAGATGAATCTCACAGTCTTGAGATGAAGCTCATTTTTTCCTCAGAGAACAAATCTGCACATGTCTCAAGGTTTTAACTTCTACCCTTCTACGAAAGAGAACTCAAGGCCCTTTGACCTGAGTTTGACCTGGCTGACAAACCATACTCAACGAGTAGTCCTTAATGAGTCTAAGTCTACATGGAGGGAAGTAAGCAATGGGGTGCCACAAGGTTCTGTCTTAGGCCCAGTACTCTTCAATATCTTCATTAACAACTTAGATGAGGGAATAGAAGGGGAACTTACCAAATTTGCAGATGATACTAAGCTGGCAGGAATAGCTAACACCCAAGAAGATAGGCTCAAGATCCACATGGATCTTGACAGATTAGAACACTGGGCTGTGTCTAACAAAATAAAATTCAATGTAGAGAAAAGTAAAGTCCTACACTTAGGCAAGAAAAACCAAAAGTACACATATAGACTGGGTGAAACCAGGCTCAATAGCAGTAACTGTGAGAGGGATCTTGGAGTCTTAGTGGACAACCAGATAAATATGAGCCAGCAGTGTGCAGCAGCAGCCAAAAAAGCTAATGCAATCCTAAATTGTATTAACAGAGGGATACAATCAAGATCAAGGGAGGTACTAATACCACTCTATAAAGCCTTAGGAAGACCACACCTAGAGTACTGCATCCAGTTTTGGTCACCACACTATAAAAAAGATGTTGAGCCTCTAGAAAAAGTACAGAGAAGAGCAACCAGGATGATTAGAGGACTGGAGACTAAAACATATCAAGACCAGTTACAGGAACTGGGCTTGGCCAGTCTAGTAAAGAGAAGGGCCACGGGAGACATGATAGCGGTCTTCCAATATTTGAGGGGCTGCCACAGAGAGGAGGAAGGTGTCAATCTATTTTCTAAAGTGCCTGTAGGCCAGACAAGGAATAATGGATGGAAACTGAACAAGGAGAGATTTAACCTGAAAATAAGGAGAAACTTTCTGACAGTGATAACAATCAACCAATGGAACACTTTGCCCTCAGAAATTGTGGGAGAGCCATCACTTGAAACTTTCCAGAAGAGATTGGACTGCCATCTGTCAGAAATGGTGTAGGGTCTCCCGCTTGGGTGGGTGGGGGGTTTGGACTAGATGACCTACAAGGTCCCTTCCAACTCTGATTATATGTTATCTGTTATCTGATTCCTGATGACTTCATGGGGATCTTTTCTGCAGGTTTCTGGTTGGCTTTCAGGAAATAATTTCTATTACCTTTTTCCAGGAATATCATTTCCAGTTATTTTATTTGCTATTCCTAATCGGGCCCAACTCTACTTAAACTCTAAACTTTAACCTAAACTTCTAAAGGGAAAAGAAGGATAAAAACATTCAGCAATGAAAGAGGCCCAGAAGAAATGCAAATAGATAGTCACAACTCATTCATGGTAGAATGAATTCTTCACTATAAGGCAATGATCCCCAACCTTTCCAGCTTTGCAATCCAGCTGGCGGTGCTGGGGGGGAGAGGTATGAGTGGCAGGTGTGAGTGCCTGCCACTCACACCTTCCCTCCCCGCCCCGCCAGCTGGATTGCAAAGCTGGAAGCAGTGGGCATGCATTTGTTCAAGCACTGGGCATGCATGTCCTCCCCTTCCACGAATGGAGCTTCATGCATAAGCAGAGGGTGCATGCACTCACAGGCAAAGACCCACTCATGCAAGTGGCAAGCACTTGTGCTCGTGCACAAACTTCATTCGAGCAAGCAGAGGGCACTTGTGCTTATGCACATGCTTGCCCATCTTTCCCACGGCCGGGTTTCAAACAGGGGGTTGGAGTTGCCAGTGGATTAAAAAGGGGGAACTTGTTAAATTGTCCCTCTTTTACCACTATGGCTATTATCTAAATTGTACAGAAACATCGGCAAGAAAACCACCAAGCTCAGAGAGCATCAAGGACTTCAATCCTGAGCTACAAATACTATCTTCTATTCTTTTTTGGTTTGAAACTTTTCATTGCTTAAGCAGTGAAACATTTCAAACTAACAAAGAAAAGAAGTCCAGTTTATTTATTTATTTATTTATTCATTTATTTATTTATTTATTTATTTATTTGTTTGTTTATTTGTTTGTTTGTCTATCACTTACAAGATACCAGGTATAAGTATAAACAGTTATGAATACATGAAATGGATACATATAAGCAGGGGTGGGATTCTACCAGTTCGCACCTATTTGCTAGAACCGGTTGTTAACATTCTAAGCAGTTCGGAGAACTGGTTGTTAGAAGAAATTACTGGCCTAATCCTGTAAGGAAGGCAGGAAGGAAACATTCTGGTGTTGCTTACAGAAACTGCCTCTCCATTAACCCTTATTACATTCTTGGCAGGACTAGACTTCCTATCTCAGGAATGTCTCTGGAGTTTGTTTTCCCCTCCTATACTGGTACTTTGCTTGTGTGAAGTGACTATTCAAAGTTACAATGGCACTGAAAAAAGTGACTTAAGACCATTTTTCACACTTACGACTGTTGCAACATCCCCACAGTCATGAGAGGCCAGGCGAGGAGATGCATGCCTCGATGTGAGTGATATTGAGTTGGCCATACCCAGCCAATAACATGACCACCAAGCCATGTCCACCCAGTCACATGACCACCAAGCCCTGTCCACCACCTAAGCCACACCCACAGAATCAGTTGTTAAAAAAATTGAATCCCACCCCTGCATATAAGAAAAATAAAAAGAAATAATAGGACAGGGACGGTAGGTACATTGGTGCACTTATGCACGCCCCCTACAGACCTCTTAGGAAAAGGGTGAGGTCAATAGTAGATAGTCTAAGGTTAAAGTTTTTGGGGTTTGGGGAAGAAACCACTGAGTCAGACAGAGTATTCCAGACATTGACCACTCTGTTGCTGAAGTCTTATTTCCTGCAATCAAGATTGGTGCGGTTTACCTTGAGTTTGTATCTATTGTTTGCTCTTGTATTGTTACGGTTGAAGCTGAAGTATTCATTGACAGGTAGGACATTGCAATGTATGATTTTATATTTATATACGGTTGCCATGAGTCAACCTCCAGATGACTCTACCTGGATGACTGTGAATCTTTTTTTAACATGCTCTTCTACTGTTGCTCTTCATCCTGCAGTTTTCTCTCTCTTTTCCCTTTTAGCTCCACCCATTCCTGCAAAGCCCTCAGTTTCATAATGGTTCCATGGATGGAGTCTATTTGGATGAAAATAGAGAGCTGGCAGCTGACTTTGATGTCATGAGCTGGATTATGTTCCCCAACAATTCTTTCTTCAAACTGAAATTAGGGGATCTAGAAAGACAAGGATCCCCAGATCTCAAGTTTACTCTTGATCAGGATGGTTTTGCAAAACTGAAATGGCTCAAGAAGGTAGGAAAAAATGGGACTCCTCCATTTCACAGACTCCAAACATTTTAAATTCTGTAATGAACTCTTTGTGCTCTTGAGTACTGAGTGAGTGCACCAAATGGTTGGTTTTTCAAAAGAAAGGATTTTTCCCTAGCTCTTCTAGTAAATTGTACAGAAGAAATATGACATTCAAAACCCTGGTTGCTTTGACCCTAAAATTGTTCCTTCATCAGGAAAGCATCAGTAAGTTCCCTGGAAGTTCAGATAGCACAAATGGAGAGAGGGCATAATTCCTAAAAAACTTGAACTCTAAAATCAGAATTGAAGACATTCAAAGACAAGAAAGTGAATGTAGAGTAGAATAGAATAACAGAGTTGAAAGGGACCTTGGAGGTCTTCTAATTCAACCCCCTGCCTAGGCAGGAAACCCTACACCACTTCAGATAAATGGTTATCCAACATCTTTCTAAAAAAACTTCCTGTGTTGGAACATTTACAACTTCTGGAGGCAAGTTGTTCCACTGATTAATTGTTCTAACTATCAGGAAATTTCTCCTTAGTTCTAAGTTGCTTCTCTCCTTGATTAATTTCCACCAGTGGTGGGATTCAAATTTTTTTTACTATCTGTTCTGTGGGTGTTGCTTGGTGGGCGTGGCATGGCTTCCCTCCCTACCCCACTAACCTGCTTTCCAGCTCCATTCTCCTGTGCAGGATAACCAAAGAAGATCAGCTGGGACTCGGGAGGCAGAGAATAGATGGGGTTGGGACCAGTCAGAGGTGATATTTGCTAGTTCTCTGAACTACTCAATATTTCTACTGCTGGTTCTCCAGAACTGGTCAGAAACTGCTGAATACCACCTCTGATTTCCACCCATTGCTTCTAGTCCTGCCCTCAGGTGCTTTGGCGAGGTAAGAGATTGGGAGAAGCAATATGCTGTACATTTCACTGATGAAAGTTTTAAAGGTCATTAGCGATTTCAGATATGAATCAGAAATCCATGCAACTTTACCAAAAAGTCCCTGTCACCCAACCCAATACAGCACAACCAACACAAAATATAAAAAGAATTATACTGCCATACATCAATAATATCTCAGAAACCACCAACAGACTCCTACAACCACATGGAATCAGCATAGCACACAAGCCAACTAAAGCCCTTCCAAACATCTAAGCAGACCAAAAGACCCAACAACCCCAGAAGAAAAAACAGGAGTCATTAACAACATTCAAGGTAAGGAGTGCAACAACTTCTGTGTAGGATACACAGGCAGAAGACTGGTATGGAATGCATACCAGTCAGAAGACATGATAAAAATTCTTTAATTTCACAACATATAGACAGTGTCAACTCATAAAATATTTCTATGGTCTTTTTGCCAACAGAAAGGGAGGGGGAAGCAGTGTGGCAGCTTGCAAACTAAAATTGCATTCCATAAATAGTTTTCAAAGATAGTAACTAGGTGACTGAAGTTTCTGCCATGCAAAATTCTAACTGGAGAGCATGATTTGATGACTCTTGGCTATGGATGTGTCCCATTGGAGAATATGAATTATGATACACCCAGGGGGTGGGGAATAACCAGGGTTAAGGATGACAATGGATTATGTGTCTCAGAGTCAGCTACACCCAGGCAGTGCTGGACATTTTAACTCCCAATAAATCTTTTTGGAGTTTTTGGAAGTTTGGTTCGAGACTCATTATTTAAATAGGGGTAAGTGCTGGAATCCTGACAGACAGATTTAACCATCATTTCAATTGGGAAAATATGACCATCCTAGAGCAAGCCAAGTCCAAAAATGCCAGGGTATTTCTAGAAGCCTAGCACTCTGACAAATCAGCCATCAATAGACTTATAGACATTAACAACATCTATAGCAGGGGTGTCAAACTTGATTTCATTGAGGGCAGCATCAGAATTGTGTTTTACCTCAGGGGGGCATGGCCAGGGTGGGTGTGGCCAGCATGATGTCATTTGTGGGGGGGCACCTGTGATGGCCTGAGTACTCTGCCAGTAAAAACAGGCTCCCAAGCTCCATTTTCAGCTGGGACAGCCTCCTGCAACCCTCTGCCAGTGAAAACAGAGCTCCCCCTCTCTCTCCCCCTCTCTCTCTCTCTCCCTCCCTCCCTCCCTCCCCCTCTCTCTGTGCAGCCTTAGCAAGCTCTGTTTTTGCTGGCAGAGGCACTGTGGGGCGAGGCACCACAGGCCGGTCCTTCACTGTTTCCAGGGAGGCCCTACGAGCCAGATCCAGCCCCCCGGGCCTTGAGTTTGACACCCCTAATCTACAGACTATGCAAAAGAGACAATCAACCACCCCAAAAGACTTGTGGCACCTCTCCACCAGTAATCAGCACTCAGATCAGCATAGATTAACTCCAAGGTTAACTTCAGACCAACACTCAAATAAGCAATACCCCGATCAAGAAACTTCCAAAGAGCCATCAGTAAACAGCCCAACCAAAGAATCTCTTAAAACCACCCCCATCCACAAGACACCAGAATATAAACTGAGAGCAAATCTCATTCCTTACCAGCACTGATTATGTTATCTAGTTGGGTAATTAAATGTCTGCAAGAAAACTCAGCACCGGAGCTACAAATATTCTCCTTTATGAATCCGAAAACCCAAGGTTTTAAATGGGCTATTGAGGTTCTCAAGCTGCTACTCAGTCCTGGAATCCAAATGTATACAAAGTGGTTTCAATATAATCCAGGTTGAACCCAAAGCAGAAGATTGACTTTAATTGTTCATATATTTTTTTCTTCTCTTTCCATTTTTTGGAGAGGGGGCAAGCAGTGGTGCGATTCAACCTGGTGTAACAACTGGTTCTGTGAGCGTGTGCTTCCCATGCATGCACAGCATTTAGAAAATATCATTTTTAGCTATAATATTTACGTTCTGCTGAAGATGGGTACCTGGTGAGTAAAACAGCTAATGCTGCAGCAAACTGCACTGCAGCGTGAATCAGCTGTGCTCAAAAACAAGGAAATAAACCACAGGAAAAGGGCAGTGTCAGTGTTCCAGAAAACCTCCCCTCTGAGTTTAATTCTGAGACACACATCCTTTCAAAAGTTCTGTTTTATTTGGATAGTAAACTGGCACATCTGGGGAATCCCAAATCTGAAAGTTCCGGGTTTCTTTGCAATAAGTAAAAAACTACAAATCCACGAACTCATCATCACATCACATGCCCCAATCACCATCCATCCCAGCTTGAGATGTTCTCTCAACCAGGTGCAGAAATAACATGACCTTGACTTAGAAGAAGAATGCTATTACGTCTAACCACATACCCTCCAAGAAATTCCCCCCTCCCATTTTCCCAGGCTCAAGAATGTGGCAGTGTGGAAGTGTCTGGTCTCAATATGGCTTCCAAAGCTGACAGGTAAGGGCAGGTGGGCGGGACCAAATGATCACCAGAACTACCGGTTCAACCGAACCGGTGCAAACCACCCCTGCTTTCAAGTCAGTGTTGATTGCTGGCAGCTACCTGGAGAAGCCCCTGCAGTTTTCTTGGTGAGATTTCAGAAGTGGTTTGCCATTGCCTCTTCCTAGTGCTAAGAGAAAGTGATTGGCTAAAAATTATCCCTAAGGCAGGACTAGAAGTCACAATCTCCCATTTTCTAGCTAGGTATCTTCGATATTCCATCAAACTCATTTTCATTCTCTTTCCACAGATTATTCTCCACATGTTTCTTTTTTAATGTACCTACTTTCTTTGCATAGGGCCTCCTTCCTTCCAGGTGTGTAGAAAGTTGTCAACCTGGATTTGCTAAGGCGACTCAGGAAGGAGAGCCCATCTGCTGTTACCTCTGCCTTCCCTGTGCAGAAGGAACCATCTCCACCCAGGAAGGTGAGTGGAAACACCTTTGGAGGAAACCAGATACTTTGGAAGGGTATTTCTAACTTTAAGCCTTTCAGAGTCAGTACAGAAAATATATTTGTCTCCATGTCCATTGTGTGTGTGTCATATCCCATGCTACAAATGAAATTGGGGTTGACATTTGTTTGCTTGAAAAACAGCTGCAGTCACTCAGAGAAACACCCCTCCTTTCCTCAGGCATTCCATGAGGCATTCACGGAGCTGTGGTGGTGCAGTGGTGAGAATGCAGTACTGCAGGCTACGTCTGCAGACTGCCTGCTGCCAGCAGTTTGGCAGTTCGATTCTCACCGGCTCAAGATTGACTCAGCCTTCCATCCTTCCGAGGTTGGCAAAATTAGGACCCAGATTGTTGGGGGCAACATGCTGACTCTGTAAACTACTTAGAGAAGGCTGTAAAGCATTGTAAAGTGGTATATAAGTCTAAGTGCTATTGCTATTCATCCATTCCCTCAGAACTCTCAGAGCCTGTTTGTGCAAGCCTGGATATGTCCAGGGCTCCCCTGCAAGCTTCTTTTTGTCTTGGTGCTCTAGTATCTGCCAACTTCCTTCACCTTTTTCTCCAACCTCCCTTCCCCTTTGCATCAGAGCAGCCTTTAAGCTTAGCCTGCAGAAAGAGTGCAGAGAAGAGCAACCAAGATGATTAGGGGACTAGAGGCTAAATCATATGAAGAATCATTGCAGGAACTGGGTATGTCTAGTTTAATGAAAAGAAGGACTAGGGGAGACATGATAGCAGTGTTCCAATATTTGTGGGGCTGCTACAAAGAAGAGGGAGTCAACCTATTCTCAAAAGCACCAGAAGGCAGGACAAGTAGCAATGGATGGAACTAATCAAGGGGAGAAGCAACTTAGAACTAAGGAGGAATTTCCTGAGAGTGAGAACAATTAATCAGTGGAACTTGCCTCCAGAAGTTGCAAATGCTCCAACACTGGAGGTATTAAAGAAAAGATTGGACAACCATTTGTCTGAAATGGTGTAGGGTTTCTAGCTTTAGTAGGTGGTTGGAGTAGTAGTCCCTTCCAACTCTGACATTCTGTTATTCATCTGCCATCAGGAGCTGAAGCTTACTTACAAGGAGACTATGAGAGATGAAATTGGGATTGCTGTCTGCCCTTGAGAAAAATAGCTGCAACCAGGCAGAAACAACTACCTCATAATGTGCATACTGTACATTCCTTCCTTCATTCACAACTTTACTCACTCAAACATCCAAGCCAGTGTTCCAGATGCCTGGCTAAATGAGACACACTATAACATTTTTAAAAATATACTGATGGCCAAAAGCATCCTTACCCCACCCAGATTAAGAGTGATAACAGGCAAGCCTCTTTCTAATTTTGCTATTCTGATATTCTGTTAAAAAAGAAGGAAAGGAGGATAATATAGGAGAGTTCAGTTATTGGCATTGACTATTGCAGTAGTGCAAGTCGTTTGATAGAATAGCAAAGTTAGAAGGGGGGTTGGAGGTCTTCTAGTCCAGGGGTCACCAACCTTTTGGACCTCAGGGACCACCAAACTCATTATTTTAAATCCCGCGGACCACTAATGTGAATTTTGACTGACGTGGCTTGCTGACATTGGTGGGAGGGAGAAGAAGAAGAGAGAGAGAGAGCTGAACTCACCTTGGAAGGCTGGTGATTCTCTCTCTCTCTCTCTCTCTCTCTCTCTCTCTCACACACACACACACACACACAGACGCACACAGATCCCTCACCCCCCACCCCCTCCAAGGCAGCCCCATTCCTAGCCTGCTTTGAGCTCTGTTCTCAGAGGGAGGGGGGAGAGATCCAATGAGGGCTGGTGATTTTCTTTCTCTTTCTCTCTCTCCTTCACACATCCCCACCCCCTCCAAGGCAGCCCCTTCCTAGCCTGCTTTGAGCTCCGTTCTGAGGCTGCACGCAAGGAAAGCAGCAGAAGTCTTTCTTTCTCTCTCCCAAACTCTGCCAGAAATGAGTCTTTGCAACTTCTTGGAGCAGGATGCCTTGCAGGCTCCCAAAGACTCATTTCTGGTGGAGTTTGGGAGGGGGGGAGGGGAGAAAAAAATACTTTTGCTGCTTTCCTTGCATGCAGCCAAAAGTGGAAGATGAAAGAAGTGGAAAGAAGCAACCTGATGGCCAGGCAAGTTACCCCCTCCCCCCTCCCCTCACTACCTTATGTTGTTCCTAATGCAAGCGATGCAAGTGATCCCAGGCCACGTGGGCGGTGCAGCCTTGTGTTCCCCCACAGCCTGGATTAATTGCTTTGGGGGGGGGTGCTTTGGGGTGACATTTCTCTGCGGACCACCAAAAAATTTTTGTGGACCACTAGTGGGCAGTGGCCCACCGGTTGGCGACTGCTGTTCTAGTCCAACCCCCTGCACAGGCAGGAAACTTTATACTATTTCAGACAAATGGTTGTCCAATCTCTTCTTTAAAAAACCTAAAGTGTTGGTGCAACCACAACTTCTGTAGGCAAGTTTTTCCACTGATTGTCTGTTCTGTCAGGAAATTTCTCCTTAGACTTAGGATGGTTCTCTCCTTGATTAGATTCCATCTATTGCTTTTTGTCCTGCCTTCAGGTGCTTTGGGAGAATAGCTTAACCTCCCCCACCCCCTCATCTTGTCCTCCAAGGAAAGCAACACGGTTTCTCTGACAATCCACCTATCAAGCTATCCCACTGATGTTGCCTCTTAGGGCAAGGGTGTTAAACTGGTGGTCTGTGGGCCAGATGCATCACGTGCAGGCCACACCCACCCTGGCTCTGCAAAGGCAAAAATATCATGATACATCACGTGACTCCACATGACATGATTGAGTTTGACACCCGTGTCTTAGGGAGATTGTAATGTTAATGTTAATTTTCCTATTTTGATGGCTCTAAGCCAAAGAAGGGTACAGAAAAGGGTATATCCTGTTATTTTTTCAGATGCAGAAAAATGTATGAGATGTCCAGAAGATCAGTATCCAAATCAGGAACAAATCCAATGTATCCTCAAGATCATTACCTTCTTGTCCTATGAAGAAACATTAGGGATCATTTTGGTTTCCTTTACCCTATTCCTCTCCTTCATTACCTGTGTAATATTAGCCATCTTCATTAAATATCTAGAAACTCCAATAGTCAAGGCCAATAACCGTGACCTCTCCTATATTATCCTTTTGACTCTCCTTCTTTCCTTCTTAACCTCCTTCCTCTTCATTGGTCCTCCAAGGAAAGCAACATGCCTTCTCCGACAATCAACCTTCAGCATCATCTTCTCAGTTGCTGTCTCTTGTGTCTTGGCCAAAACAATCATGGTGGTGCTAGCCTTCTTGGCTACAAAACCAGGAAATACAGTGAGAAGATGGCTGGGAAAAAGCTTGGCCAACTCCATCATCCTTTCTTGTTCTAGTGTCCAAGTTGCCATCTGTACTTTCTGGCTATGGAATTCTCCACCCTTCCCTGACTCTGATATGCAGTCTGAGCTTGGAGAGATCACATTACAATGCAATGAAGGATCTGTTGCCATGTTTTATATTGCTCTTGGCTACCTGGGCTTCTTGTCTACCATCTGCTTCATGGTGGCTTTCCTGGCCAGGAACCTCCCTGGAGCCTTCAATGAAGCTAAGCTGATCACCTTCAGCATGTTGGTTTTCTGCAGTGTGTGGATTTCCTTTGTGCCCACCTATCTGAGCACCAAGGGGAAGTACATGGTGGCTGTGCAGATCTTCTCCATTTTGGCCTCCGGTGTAGGTCTTTTGGGCTGTATCTTCTTCCCTAAGTGCTACATTATTTTACTAAGACCAGATCTGAATACAAAGGAGCAGTTAATGATAAAAGTAAAATAGAAATCTCATAATAAATCTTTTTTTTTCAAGGAGAGTCCTCTTGTACTTTGGACACATCTGTGCTGTCAAATGATCATCTTTTCCCCTGTGTTGATCCATTACACCATTTAAACTATTCTCTATCTGGTTAAGACATGATTGTATTTAATTATTTTTTATTTTATTTATTTAATTAATTAATTTATATTGCCCATGGTGACTTGAGGCGGCTTACACAATGTAAAACCATATTTAAAACAAAAAATAAAAATAAAGCAATAAAAATTAACAGAAAGAATCAAATAAATTAGTAAAGTACAATAGAACAAAATTTGGGAAAACAAAAAACAAAACAAAACATCAAAAACCAACTCCCACCCCCCTCCCCAATGACAGCAGATCACACTAGCCATTTGATGGGCTCCATCCCTCTCTGGGTTCCCCAGACCTGCTGGCAAAACCAGATCTTCAGTGCCTTTCAGAAGAATATTAGTGAAGGGGCCATTCTAATCTCTGGGGGAATGATGTTCCAGAGAGATAGAGCCACCACGGAAAAGGCCCTTCTTCTGGGGCCCACCAGGTGTATCTCCCTCAGGGGTGGGACCTACAACATTCCCTGCCTCCTCGCCCTAATGGGTCAGGTGGCTGTGACTGGCAAGATTCCCTCAGATAACTTGGACCCAAGCCATGAAGGGCTTTCAAGGTGACAACTAGCGCCTTGAATTGTACCTGGAAGCAAATCGCCAACCAATGCAGCTCCTGCAGGAGAGGTTACACATGTGCATACCGGGATCTGCAAAAAAACATGCAGGCTGCTGCATTTTGCTCCAACTGGAGCTTCCAGATGCTCTTCAAGGGCAGTCCCATGTAGAGCATGTTGCAATAATCAAGACGGGAAGTGACCAGGGCATGAGTGACTGTGAGTAGGGACCGCTGATCCAGGAAAGGGAGTAACTGGTGCACAACCTGCTGTTGTGCAAAGGCCCTCCTGGCCACAACCACTACCTGCTCTCTGAACAGGAGTCGTGAGTCCAGGAAAACCCCTAGATTACACACAGGGTCTGTTTGGGGTAGTGCCACCCCATCCAAGACTAAAAGTGGTAATTCTCCCTGAACCAACAAACCCCTAATCCAAAGCCACTCGGTCTTGCAAGGGTTTAGTTTCAACCCGTTGCTCCCCATCCAGCCCCTAACAATCTCCAGGCACTGCGAGAGGGAGGATACAGCAATACTTAGCTCACCACGGGCCAAGACATACAGCTGAGTATCATCAGCATATTGTTGATACCTCAGTCCATGGTGACAGATGATCTCACCCAGCAGCTTCATATAAATCTTGAACAGGAGTGGAGAAAGTACCAAGCCCTGCGGAACCCCATAAAGCAGTGGGTGAGGGCTGGATCTCTCCCCTCCTATCAACACTGACTGAGAGTGGCTGCAGAGAAAGCACAAGGTCTCCCACTCCCATCCCCCAAAGTCATCCCAGGAGAATCCCATGGTCAATGGTATCAAAAGCCACCCCATCCCACTCCTGCCAGAGATCATCCAAAAGTGCAACCAATGCTGTTTATGTCCCAAATCCAGGTCGGAATCCTGACTGGTAGGGGTTGAGATAATCTGTTTCATTCAGAAACCTCTGGAGCTGCTGCACGACCATCTTCTCAACAACCTTTCCCAAAAAGGGAAGATTGGAGACAGGTTGGAAATTATCCAACCAAGTGGAGTCCAGTGATGGCTTCTTAAGAAGAGGGTGGACCACAGCCTCTTTAAAGTGCTGGGGCACTGTCCCCTCCTGTAGAGAAGCATCAATCACCACCAGAGTCCATCCGCCTGTCACCTCCTGGGAAGCTTTCACAAATCAGGAGGGACATGGGTCTAAAATACAGGTGTTCGCGTGCATACTCCCTAGGATCCTGTCCAATTTTACTCCCAGCAGGAGGCATCTCATGAAATTTGCAGAGTGAGATTGATAAAGCACATAGAATATTCAGAATGGAGACTATCCAATCCTATGTTATATTACAAGTGATTTTATTACAAGAACCAGACAGATCTCCAAAGTATCAAAATTCTCCTTATTTGAAACCTGTCAAAAACCTGTCATTCCTCTATTAACTGTCAGGTGCCTCCCTTTGGGGTTCTAAGATGGGGGTGTTCCTTAAAAGGCCATCGTCTCCCCACTGCCCTTCTTTTATCTCTTTGGCAGAGGGACCATTGCCATTCACTTATTGAAGAGTATCCTATCCATTGTAATATCTACATGAAGCCCTAGAGTTACATCATCAGTCACCATGGGTTGAGGTATCATCAGTATGTGAATGATACTCAATTTTATATCTCCATCCCAAGTGATGCTGTTGTTGCCCCCTGGAGGCTGTGGGAGCTGGATGGCAGACAATGGGTTTTGACTGAATCCTGACAAGACCAATTGCTTTGGATGCATGGATCTTCAATATCTGGGATTTTGACATCTTTAGCTCTAGATGAGTGGCACTATCCCACTATCTCCCCTCCCACCTGCCCTAGTTCTATTCTTTATTTCCTGGTTTTCAAGCTCAGCTGCTTCACACGGCACAGTGGAGAGTGCACCCGTTGCGTGCGCGCAAAGCACATGCTCACCGAACTGGTTTTCACACTGGTTGAATCACACCCCTGCACTGTTCTATTAGCTGTACTGGGTGCCGGTTTGCTTCTGGGTGCAATTCAATGTGTTGGTTATTATCTATAAACTCCTGCATGGAGTGGGTTTAGATTACTTCAAGAACTATCTCACTCCAATGTGAAAAGCCCACCTCACCCATGTACAGTACGGGCAGTGGAGGCATGATGCAGTTCCCATCAGTCAAGGAATTCCAGCTGGAATTCCAACTGGCAGGGTCCAAGAGAACATCCTTCTCTGCCATGGCCCCAGTCCTTTGGAACATCTAACTTCCTGAGGTGAGATTGCCTCCCACCCTTATGACCTTCTGCAAGAGCCTAAAGACTTGGCACTGCCAGGCTTAGGACCCCAATGGGGAAGTACTCTATTGAAGTAGTTGATCAACTAATAGAAAATCCATGAAATCTTTCCTAATTTCTCTCTTAAGTTTGTTTAAATCAGCAACCCAAAAAAAGTATTTAAATCAGCAATCTGAAAGACCAAATCACTGGTATGACTTGTGTCGGCTTTGGAAGCCATATTAGCACCAGCAGCTTCCACGCTGTCACATTCCTGTGCTTGGGAAATTGAGAGGGGGGATTTCATGGAGCATATGTAGTTAGACATAATAGCATTCTTCTTTACAGTCAAGGTCATATTATTCCTGCACCTGGATGAGGAGTGTTTAAGGGATGTCTCAAGTTGCAATGGATAGTGATTGGGGCATGTGATGGAATGATGGGTGCAGAGAATGGGTTTGTATTTTTTAATTATTGAAGGGAAACCCGGAACTGTCAGATTTGGATTTTCCCAGATGTGCCAGTATGACTTTTCCAATAAGGAGAAACTTTGAGAAAATGCCTGTCTCAAAGTTTTTGATTGGAGTTTGGTATTGCTGGAACACTGACAACTTGATTCAATTACCAGTGGTTGGATTATGGTGAATTCAAATGTGACGTGGCCACTTTCCTCCAAAGTTCTTATAACTTCTCAACTATTTCATCCCTATTAGTAAGAATTAATTCCAGTATAGCTGTGCCTCTATAGGGTTTCCTGCTTGAGCAGGGGAGCAGGGAGCAGAGTGTTGGACTAGAAGACCTTTAAGGTCCCTTCCAATTCTGCTATTCTATTCTATTCTTTTCTGGTGGTTCTGAAAATTTTATTTGGGTTTTCACAAAAACAAAATACAAATAAAACATCTTTTTTTGAAAATAGCATGGTCCCAGGTTATCACTTCTTCATACAGACACAAACTCAATTTCATGCTCATTTTTATGTTCTATTCCATATCTTATTACTGTTTTATATTTTCTACATAGTTTTCCCCTCTTTTAATTTTCTCAACTTTATTTTAATTATCTCATCTTAATTCAAATCATTATATTTATACTTTTGTCTGTCCTGTCGCAATTTCATATTATCTTTTCTCATTAAACAAATTTTCCCCTGTAGTTACTAACTGGAGTATGACACCTTTATATCTTTTAATTTTATCCATTCAAACTCTTATTTAAGCTTCAATGTATACCTTTAAGATTATAGCATTCAATATAATACATAACTTCCAATGGAATTCTGCTTGGTACATTCTTAAAATACACTATATTCTTAAAAAGAAAAGATTATATATATAGGTAAATAAATCACACATTCCATTCCAATTCAATTCTATCATTAATATTCATTAAAATCTTAACATCTTTAACATTTATTTTCAATTAAATATCATATTTCCTTGGGAACACTTATAAACTTTCCATAATTAATTCTTTTTTTCGTATTTCTCACTTATATTTTTATAAATCATTAATAATAATTAAAATGCTCCCATCCTTTCTGAATTTAATTATCTCATTCACTTTAATTCATTTTTTTATTAACAAACATTCCACTACATTACAGTGAATATTTTATCCATCATTTTAGTCATATTTTCTAAAATTATTTCTATTTGTAATATAACACTGCTATCTTATGTACCTTTGCAGAATCCCTTTTACAATTAAATTTTCACCCATTATATCTAAATAGGCTTATGGTTTCAATCCTTATATCTTTCCCTGTTTCTCTATATCTTGTTTCTGTCTTTTACAACTTCTTTTCCTTACCTTCTTCCCCTCTTCTTCTCCCTCCCCTTTTTACCCCCTCGTCTCTTTACTTCTAATTCTCTCATCTGTAATCCCCTCTTCTGTTGCTTTCTAATATTATACTTATATTTCAAACTCTTCTTCTTTTTGGTTGTTTTTTCTAGTCTTAAACCTTTCACTCTCTTTCCCCCCTTTCCTTCCCCCCCCCACTTAAAAGTATTTGATCATTAAAGATGGCTTCTTCTTTGTCTCGATCTTCTTGTTCTGCAAGTGTTTCTTGTTCTTTTTCATAGTTCCAGATCTCCATATCGAAGAATTGAAATACAAAGCCAAAAGAACCTCTCCCTTCTTGTGCATCTTCTTTCCATTTTTTAAGTACCATTTTCAGTTCTTCTAAGAATGATGCCATTTTAAACACTTTTAAACAACCACCCGATTAGTTTTAGTCACTTAGATGCAAAAACCAAAAATCACCAAGTAATCTAAATAATCCAAGGCTGTTTCTTCTTGCTTCTTTTTTCCACTTTCTCTTCCTGGGGTTCTATTATTTTGTTGCCAAGTTTCAGTTAGGATGTATCTTTGGGGAATCTTGTTAAAGTTTCACTGTAAATTCCTTTTAGTTACAGTTCCATTCCGTAGTTCCAGGCAGTCTCCTCCATTTTTCCAGATCCTACCCTTTTATTCTTTTTTTCTCCTTTCCTGCTTTTAAAAACTTTTAAATATCCAGAAATCTTTATTATCCCTTTGACTTTTATTTTAAGCTTAAATGCCTATTAATCTCAGTGGATTTTTTTTTCAATTTCTTGCTTAAGTCTCTTAGCTGTCAGTATATGAAAGGGAAGAAAAAAAACCCTAATCCTTTCCCTTTTCTCTCTCCTTCGCTGCTTTAAAATCTTCTTTGGGAACAATGGTATTTAGTTTAAATTCCAGGGTACTTTACATTATTGCTTTTTCAGTTTAACCTGGTCGACCAAAACTTTCTCTTCTTATCTTCCTCCTGCACATTCTTTTCCAGTTCAGTTCTTCTTTGAGGTGGCCATTTCTGACCACCGCTGCAACTGCCTTTGGGCAAGGGAGTAATGGCCAGCTGGGGAAGAGAGATGCGGCTCTCCTCGATCCTGATGGCAGTCTCCCCCCTCTTCACCACCTCTATGGGGTGGCTTAGCCCCGAAACCAGCCAGCTCGGGGCGCTTTGGCAGCGAGCACAGATCGAAACCACGCACAATTGCGGATTTCTGTCTGTCGCCAAAGAGACTCAAACCAGAAGCCTATTCTATTCTATTCTATTCTATTCTATTCTATTCTATTCTATTCTATTCTATTCTATTCTATTCTATT